TCCCTCTATAAAAATGCCATCATGAACGTTTCTGTATTTATTAGCATGTTGAAGGTTGGCCTTGGTGAGCTCAGTTAATGTTTAGAAGCATTCCTCATCACTTGTATATGCTGTGAACATTATTTTCACTACAGCACTCATGAACTTGCTAGGAACAACATTATCCTTGTTGTTTTGGTAAAATGAAGATGAATGAATAATGAGATCAGCATAACAATCTGTTCTCAAGTGGGCGAAGAGGATGAGTCAGTGAGTTTTGTCTATGCTATCTTCTCTAAGGTGCTCTTGAGTAACATTTCGTATTCTGGAGCTGGACAGTCACTTGACTTAGACTGAAAGGATTTTGTTAGGACATAGTCCGTGCTTGTCAATGGAGACTTCCGGGAATTTATGGGCACATTTGTCATCTACTTCTCAGAGCTCCTTGCAGTGGTCAGTAAGTAGCATCACCCTTTGCTGAGATATGAACAAACTGAGGCAGAGTTTGAAAGGGGTTTAAGTTTGCAATTAGGTGTTAAGGCTTGCGGGCCTTGGCTAATCTGAATTATTCTTAGTGAAATTTATGGCATGGGACAGTAAGGCCACTTTTAAAAACTACTTTGAGTCTGATTTAACATTCAAACCTTTCTTCAGGGAGGCATGTAAATACTGTGAAAACAATAGAACTTTTATGCCCTTGACCTTTGCTCATTCGCAGAACCGTAATTCTCATGGCTTCTTTGAATGGGAGTAGTCAGTTACTGGGTATAAAGCTGATTTAAATGTATACTAGTACAGCCATGCCCTAAGGGAGTCAACAGACTTGCATCTAATGGATCCTTTTCTGCACCATTAGTAGCTTAACAGGTTGAAACTAGCGCTGAGTAAATGAGATGGGAGGGGGGGATATTCCATTATGGAAACAAAACATGGAATGTGTGCTGTCCTGTCATTAGTGGAAGATGGTTTCATGGTCATGCATTTAAGTTTACTAAGAACCTTTCCTACAACTGAAAATGAAAGGTAGTACACAGATATTTATTAATAATACACAACAGTGTAAGGTTTTGTACAGTGTGATATTTAACATTCAAGATGAGTCAGAAATCTATTTTCTCTTTCAGTTTGAGTCTTTCTCCTTCCATTCTCTCTTTGCCAAATTGCTAATAGGAACTATTTATTCACTAGAGATCATATTCGATCTGTTTTGAATAAAGGTGTGACGCACAGGAATGGCGACCTACTTTCTGTCTGTTACATCTTGTCCTTCCTCCAAGGAGATCTGGGTGGCATACATGGTTCTCCCCTTTTCTTTTTTGTCCTCACCACAATCTTGCCAGGTAGGTTATGGTGGGAGAGAGGAACTGCCTGAGGTCATCTAGGGATTTGATTTGAATGTGGGTCTCCTCTGTCCTAAGTTCAACACGAACCTCTTTCAAGTCTGGAACCACTGGGCAATTCTGCATTGGCTTTTCCCTCTGTTGTTTTACCAAACCCACGTTGGAACAGAAATTCCCCTCTGCATTGCATGCCGCTTTCACTTTCTTTGTTCATCGGGTTTTATGGTACCCTGCACACTGCACGCCGCTTTTACTTTCCTTGCTCATCAGGTTTTATGGTACCTTCTGCATAGATTGATGGCCATTCAGGGGTGACTTCGCAATCAGTAAGGTGTTGCCCCAGGATATTTCAATGTGGTTTTGAGCTGCACCTTTGGTAAAACAACAGAAGGAAAAGCCAATGCAGAATCACCCATTGTGTCAATACCATTTCAGTTACAACAAGTCTTGAATGCACAGCACCTTCTTGGTTCATCCCCATTCTCCCTTGAAGCCCCTTGTGTCTGGACCTCCCTCTCCAGAATGCTACGCTTCATTCAGACCTCTCCCTGGTACCCACTTTTTCTATGCAGTTTAGGCCTTAAATAACTGTTTTTGTTCTCACCCCCATCTGAAGCCTAGGTTCAAGGAACTGCATTTGCTGACACTTCACTCTTTTTTATTATTGCTTTCGTTCCCCCTTCCTTTGGTATCTTCACAGCTATAGACAGTTATAGAGCCAGCATGGTGCAGTGGTTAACGTGTTGGACTAGGATCTGAGAGATCCAGAACTGAATTCCCACTCATGCCATGGAAGTTTGCTGGGTGATCTTGGGCCAGTCACACACTCCTCAATCTAACCCACCTCACAGGGTTGTTGTAAGGATAAAACGGAGGAGAGAGGAATGATGTAAGCCTTGGGATGAAAGGAGAGATATAAATAAAGTAAATACATTTAGATGGTAAGTTTCTCCTGACAGAGACCTTGTATGTGTTTGTATGTGCAAATGTCATTGCTGCATTCCTAATCCTAAGTTGCCGCCTCGACATTTGCCAGGAGCTTTCTTGGGGGCAGTAAGAGGTGAGAGGTGTGAGGGGGAGTTGGTGTGAGGGAGTGGTGATGTGGTGGACATTTCTTCAGGTCCATGAGAGAGGCACGCATCGAAATGGCTCCTAGAAATGTCCTTTACTATCTCCCCATAAACATTCATACCCTGGCCCTGCTCCTACACCTGACAGACACCGGTGTTGGGTGGGATTGTATTTAAAGGCATTGGCCTGTCTGGTTTTTTTTTTGGGGGGGGTTGTATTTAAAGGCATTGGGGAGTGCTAAGGCAATCCTGCTGAGCAGACCTCCCCGTGGTTGTAAGCATCCCACCTCCTCTCCTACACCTGACAGGCAGCTGCCTGTCCAGTGTAGGAGGAGTATTAGAACCCACTGTGGAGGTGGGGCTGCACCCGACAGACAACCGCCTGTTAGGTGTAGGAGGTGGGGGAAGTGTGTTGGAAGCCATCGGAGAGGCTGGGCCAGCAGCATTCCTGAACCTCACAGGTGCCTGTTGGCCACTCCCGATTTCCTCAACTGTCATTAGCTGTCTGCAATCCCCTGTAACTGTTGGGGTTTTTTTACCTCAGAACTCTGAGCTCTGCAGCTGACCAATCAGAGAGTGGGGGGTGCAGGGAGCCGCAGCCGCATAGGAATCAATGGGGGGAGCACATTTTCCCCACATTCTCCTGGCAGCCACATAGGAATCAATGGGGGGAACACATTTTCCCCCTTTTGACCCACTTAGGGGTCGAATTTCTAAAAAATCCCTTCTTAGTGAGCTATGCCACGGTGGGAGCGCTCCCCCCAAATTTGGTGTCTCTAGGTGCAGCGGTTTGGGTGTTGATTTTACGGTGAGGGGACTTTCTTTTGTATATATAGAAGTGACATACAAGGATGGTGATAATTTCAGAGGTGGAGGCATGTTAGTCTGTTGCAACGAAACAAAACGGGGAGTCTTGTGGCGACAGAATTTTACTGCACGGGAGCTTCCTGAGTAGTGGTGAGCCAGGCACACACTCTCAGCCTAACCTACTTCAGATAATTGTTGTGAGAATAAAATGGCGGAGAGGAGAGCATTGTATGCCGATTTGGGTCTCCACTAGGGAGGAAGGTGGGGTATAAATTTAATAACAAAATCCAACAAAGTGGGTTCTAGTCCATGAATGCTTGTATTGGAATACGGTCTTGTGGTGGGTACTTCCACAGTACCATCCTAAACAGAGATAAAAGGTAAAGGTAAAGGTTTCCCTTGCTCGAAAGCCAGTTGAGTCCGACTCTAGGGTTGCGGTGCTCATCTCCGTTTCAAAGCCGAAGAGCCAGCGCTGTCCGAAGACGTTTCCGTGGTCTTGTGGCCGGCATGACTAAACACCAAGGCGCACGGAATGCTGTTACCTTCCCACTGAAGTGGTACCTATTTATCTACTTGCAATTTCTTGCTTTCGAACTGCTAGGTTGGCAGGAGCTGGAACTAGAGACGGGAGCTCACTCCATCGTGCGGCACCCGGGTCTCGAACTGCTGAACTACTGACCTTCCACAGCCTGCAGTTCAGCATCTTAACCACTTGAGTCACCGCAGCTCCAAACAGAGATACTCTCTTCTAAATTATACGCAATCTGTTGATCAATCTTCAAGCTGATTAGCTCTGAAAATTCTCTCCTGGAACCTAGCTGGTTGGTTTCCTCATATTTCATCCTGTGAGGTGCGAGAGTTCATCAGTGCCCATGGTGCCATTTTGCTGCAAGAACTGTGGTGTAAAGGACATATTTATTTCTCTAGGTTTGCATCGTATATTACTCCTGCTATCCCAAGCTTGAAGGGAGGCAGACCTAAGGGTGGCCTCGCTTGTCGGATTTCCTCTTGTTTTAGATGCCAGAGCCTAGAGTTGATTTTAAACCTAGATCTCTTTTAAATCCACTGTTGTCAGTGGGCTTAGAAGCGTGTAGCAAACCAAGTGTATTCTAATTGGACCCATGCATTGTTTTCAGAATTCATAGGCACCCACCAATATGTTATCTGTGCTGTGGAATATCTTTTGCTCATACTTTTATGTCCAGTTAAATAATCACAGATGGTATCATCCTCTTCAGAAGTTTTTCCCCTTGGTCAGCCCCACTTTATATCATTTGTTCATCATTGCTTTGCTACCTTTTACATTGTCAGGAAGTACATTTCCAGACTGAGTTTGGTTTTTGCTACCTTTTACATTGTCAGGAAGTACTACATTTCCAGACTGAGTTTGGTCACTGTTGTGCTGCATAGGGATACAGACACATCTGCAAGGCTTTGCTTTGGTTGATGCAACAACTGTGATTTGAGTCAGAGAGAGATGTTTCACAACAAAGGTGCATGAAAGACAGAGTTTCAGGCCTTGTGTCTGAGCTTTCAGCTCCCGCCCCCCGATTCTGCAGATCAAATTTTAGAGGAGTGGAGTAGAAAAAAAAAATGGAGATTAAGGTTTAGCAGACCAGAATGGTTGGCGCTAGTTTGGTGTATCTGTGTGAGAGGGAGATGTTTGGGGATATTAAAGTCACACTTGCAACCCAGGCCACCCTCCCCTGCGTCAATTAAGTTGTCCCAAAGTATTGCCAGTATACAAATGTGTATCATTGCTTCTGTAATGTTAACCTGCATTTTCCTCCCTTCTTTCTCTCAGACTCCACCAATTTCCCATCTCTTCACCATGAGAGAGGTTGGGGTTCACTTCTTCCCTTCACCCTGTAGTTGATAGTTTTGGATTTGGAGGCGATGCTGGAGTAGAGATGGCAGATAGTGTCAAGATCTTCCTTAATGATCTCATCAGGGTAAGTCTTCCGCCACCCCCCATAACAAAAGGTGGCGAAGAATATATGTGGGGTGAAAATAGAGCTCTGAGTCTTTCAGTATTACATGTTGGGTTTTGAAATCTGTGGATGAGGGTATTTGAAAGCCAAGGCAAAAGAGGGACTGATAGCCTCCATGGGAGGCAGTGGACGGGTTTGATGAGGGACAATTGGCACGAAGCAAAATCCTTCCCAGTGCAAATCTCCCTGGAGTCCCATTCTGAGAAGTTGTCTATGAGCTTACGCTTCAGTTCCTTCCATTTGTGTAGTGCATATTCCTGAAGCCTCTTTTCCCCTTATCACTACTGTCCTGTTTTCATAAAATGAACTGGTCCCTTCTCATTCTCCTAAAACACAAACATGGGTCTCATCCTGCAAGTTTGGACTCTTGATGTCTAAAGTGGAGCACTTCATTCTCCTTTTCCTTTTAGCCTTTCCTCCACTCTTAACCCCATGAATAGGGATTCCATCTATTTGCTTATGCAAGGGATAACCCGCTTGCCAGCAGTGCTGCTCAGTCTGAATTAGGACCTCCTGATGGTGCTTCGGAGTAACAGAGGGAGGGGATTGGTCATGGACCCTTCAGCCGCATCTCTTTAGAGCGTTATTTGAACCCCTCCTCCTGTCTCCTTTTGCTTTGGCTGCTTCCTCCTCTGTCTTTCTTGGGATGGTAATAATATGCATACTTGCATGGGAACAGGTCTCAATGAATTAAATCGATTTTACTACTGAGTAAACATGTCCAGGCTGTTAGATTGTGAATCCCTTTCTGGCCTGTGTTGGGTTCTCAGTTTTATTTTCTGAGCAACACTAGGCAGGCTGTCAGAAGTAATAAATAGTAGGAGTATTTTTGTCAGTGCTCCTCTTTCTTAGCTTTAGAAATAAGTCCGTGGAAGTTACAGGTCCACCCAGCCATATACAGCCTATGCTAGCCATAAGCCACCTAAACAGAGTTTCCTGGCCTGATTGCATGGATTTTTACTCATCTCTGGTGAATATTGGCACAGTCTTCAAAATGTAAAATAATAGTATTGCTTTCTTGTGGGTCATGTGCTATTGACGCCTATCAGTTTGAATTAGACTAAGCAGTAATGGGACTGAGCCTTAGTTTTGTGGTAGACCATGCAGAGAGTTTCCTGGCCTGATTGCATGGATTTTTACTCATCTCTGGTGAATATTGGCACAGTCTTCAAAGTGAAAAATATAGTACTGCTTTCTTGTGGGCCATGTGCTATTGATGCCTATCAGCTTGAACTAGACGAAGCAGTAATGGGACTGAGCCTTAATTTTGTGGTAGACCATGCAGTCCTTTTTCGCCACACAGGAAAAATGAGAAGGCGATTACTCTGGCTACTTGAAAGTGTTGGATTACGCCAAAGTTAGAAGGAATTACATGATGCCAAAGGAAGAGATTGATTGCTTTTCTGGTGTTCATTTTGTGCTTAAAACAACAAATGCTTTTGTTCTCGATCAGGGGGCTGCTAAAAAAAGGTTGTTTTTTTTAATGCCCACAGTATAGGAGGTTTCCCCCCCCAGTGCTCTCCCAACTCTCCCAATTTTTCCACTCAGACATTTTCATGCTGTACATTTGGAATGAAGGACATGAAGTTTAATACAAAGCTTTTCTTGCTGCAAGAGAAAAAATATTGCATAGGAGATTTTTCAGTGCTCTTTCCCATTTCTGAATTCTCTTTCACATTAATATTTCTGTCCCTCTAGGTTTTGAAGGTAGGTTTTAAATATGTGTAGATGTGAATTTTCAGGAGCCAACAAGAGCTGAGAAGGATTTCTCTCAGTTGAGCACAGACCTATAGTGTTGTATATACGTATTTGTCAATTCCTATGATTGTAACTTAACTATTATACTATAACGCTTCATAAGCTGTGTTGCTTACATTTGCATAATTAAGACAAGTAGTGCATGTTGTAAAATGTAGTTTTTGGTTCAAAATTTGGATTTTCTTGTCAAAGAACGTAGAGTTTGGATTCCATATTGGTGCAAATTCCAATTATGCTAGCACCACTATCATTTAATCACATTCTGTGTCTTCAGGTTAGTTACTGATGTATTTACTGATACCTGATAAAGTACAGAAATGTCTCTCATTCACTTTTGTTTCACAGTCCCATCCAGCATGTTGAATGTAGGCCTGGTGCTTTTTTTTATTTGTGCAGGGAATTAAGGATTCCATATGGGGGATTTGCACAATCTCCAAGCTCGATGCTCGAATCCAGCAGAAAAGGGAAGAGCAACGGAAAAGAAGAGCGAGCAGCATCCTTGCTCAGCGAAGAGCACAGAGCGAGGAGAGGAAGCAGGAGAAGTGAGTAAAGAAGTGAGACTGGTTGGGGAGTTGGGTGGGTTCTTCTGAAAAAATGTTTTTCAATTTACCAAGATGAGAGTGATTTCCCAACCAGAGTGGGAGTTGTAGTAACACCAAAAGAGGTTTTTGACAGTGACATTAGGGATAAATGAAAATCGGAATGGCATGTCCAGTGTGGTTATAGTGGACGAAGATCTGGGAGACCAGGGTTCAAATCCCCAATGTGCCATGGAAGCTGGCTGGGTGGCCTTGAGCCAGTCACCCATACTCAGCCTAAACTACCCCACAAGGTTGTTGTGAGGATAAAAGGAAGGAGAAGAGAATGATGTAAGCTGCTTCTAAAGTCTCAGTTGGGAAGAAAGGTGGGGTAAATGAAATATCTTTGGAGATTTTAGGCTGATCATTTATTGTTTTGTATTTTGACTCTTATTTGGGCTCCCTGTGGTCCCCTATCCAAGGGACTGACCGGAGCCAATACCCATTTAGCTCCAGCAGTCCTGTTTTTTTCATACATTCTGGTTCTGTGTAGGCTCACCCATTTTCCTTTATTGCCTTCCAGTGAACCTCGGATAGTAAGCCGAATATTTCAGTGTTGTGCGTGGAATGGAGGTGTATTTTGGGTAAGTTTGTGCAGATTGGGGTGGGGGAGAGAGATCAGGGTATCATGAAACAAATGCATTGCTTCAGAGCCTGAAGGCTAGTTTACTCACACTGCTTGTTTAGATAATATTGCAAATTGAAGACACATACTAGCTTAACTTTCAGTCTCCTAGTCTTGCCTAAAAGAAGCAGTTGTTAAAATATGTAATTGAACAGCCAGAGTCCTGTTAGTGACCAATGTATTGTTATCCCAGTTCAGATATCTTTTCTTTTATGTGCTGCTTCTAGACCCTGACTTGGAAATGTCTTTTATACTAATTAACAGCCAGCAGTCATTGGCAGCAACCAGTTGACCCAACCCACAAATGGCAGTTGAACCTCTAGAGTTTGCAGTTGCCTTAATAGATAAAGCCTCTTATCTCTGAATGTCACTGCCAATACTTCAGTACTCCCCAAAGGGCTGTTGTGGAATTCAGTAGTGCTTTAGCTCTGTATTTTCACTTGTTGTGGCTGGTCTAATTGATGTTTCTCTCTTGAGAATTCATTGAATAATTTCATTTTCCATATAAAATCTGTCCTCACTGGCGATAAAATAGCGTGGAAGTGCTGAAAGGAGACTGTTCAATTATGTATTTTGGCTGCATTTAGAGTTTCCAAACTCTGTGCTTCTAGCGCTCTGTGTTGAATATTTCACTACAAAATACATGAGGCCTGTATAAAATATTTAAATAAGTACTTGCAGTTCTTTACTGCTGTGGGTGAGGCTCAGAGTATGCAGCATGCAACTTCGCACATCCAGTTCAGACATTTTGGCTTTTATTTTAAAAGTACAAAGTAGGTTTTCGAGCCCCGATGTTTGCATTTGCACAGCAGAGCTTTAAAATGTGTGGACAATGTAAATTAGATGTAGTAGCACAGGGTCAGGGTACAGAGAGTTAGCCCAGTGTTGCAAGGTCTTCCTTGCTGCGCCTGTCCCTCCAGCTGTGCAGTTCTCCTGTGTCCCCGTCTCTCTCTTTCCCCCTCCAAATGCTTCAGCCCTGTAAACATTGCAGCAGTGACTTGGGTGCATGCGCATATACACAGAGGGAGTGAGCACAGGCGTTGGATTTCCCAGGGCCTGGATCTTAGCATTTTGAAAAGTGAGGGGAAAGGCCTCTTTGAAGCTGAGAGACTGGCTCCGGTCACACACACTAAATAAGCCACTTTCAGTGCACTTTCCAACTGGATTTTGCCAGTTCACACAGTAAAAATCCAGTTGGAACGTGCACTGAGAGTGGATTGAAAGTGGACTATTTAGCGTGTGTGACCACAGCCCCTGTATCTCTAATACTCAGTGCATTTTGAGGTAGGCAACCAAAATGGCTTTTGGACTGGGAATTCAAAATTGGTGTTTCTGGTTAGTAAGATAGGGTGGGAATAAAGACTAAATAGCTAATTACTCTTCGAAGTAGGGTTGCCAGCCCCCCTGGTGGGGCCTGGAGATCTCCTGGAATTACAACTGGTCTCCAGACGACAGAGATCAGTTCCCCTGGAGGAAATGGCTGCTTTGGAGGGTGGGCTCTACGGCATTACATCCTTGCTGAGGTCCCTCCCCTCCCCAAACTCTGCCCTCCTCAGGTTCCACCCCCACCCCCCTAAATCTCCAGGTATTACCCAAACTGGAGTTGCAACTCTCCTTCCAAGGTTATGAGATTGGGCTGAAGGTGTGTTTTTTGCCAAAGCCAAATTTTGACACAGAGAGTACTCCATCTGTCTATGTTATACCTCTGAGGATGCCAGTCACAGCTGCTGGCAAAACGTCAGGTACTAGAATGCCAAGACCACGGCCATACAGCCCGGAAAATCTACAACTAATAGCCAATTTTTTTGGTCATAATGTTGCATAGGTTTGCATATGTTTATAGCACTGCAATGTTTTCTTGCTCCCTCCACCTCCTTACTCATGTTATGGCCATGTACGTGCAGCTGAATGAGTGAGGAGCTATTTTCTAGTCCTTTTTTTTTTGTAAAGTGCATAGCAATAGCATCTTCCTGTGTGTTTGCCGGAAATTGAATTCTCCACTGATGCATTTCTGTGTGGTGAAGAACACCATTCCTGGAAGAAGCTGTGGAATAGATCGGCCTCAAGCAAATGTGCAGATCTTCCCCTATATCTCAGGATTATGGAAAAGTTAATGTGTTTACACAATCATGCTGCTTTTAGTAAAGTCTGTAGTGACTAGTTTCTTCACTTCTTCCTGTAGCTTAGTCTCCTTTTGTTCTACCGGGTCTTTATACCTGTCCTTCAGTCAGCAACAGCACACATCATTGGTAAGTGCAAATCTGTGACTTCAAATGTTTAATTGCTACTCTCTTTTTAAATCTATTAATTCCTTAGGTCTCGGTCATCAATCACTGTGTGTATGTGGGCTGCTAATCAGTGGCATGCCCATGGGAGCTTTGGGCTTCTGTTTTTCAAACAGCATCCTTTTGTGCTGTATGACAAAAGTCTTGAGAAAATGAGGGAGGTTTCAGAAGCATTCGTAGCGTGGCATGGGGGACTGCCATTCACAGAGGAAAAGCCTGTCTAAAGTTGTGTTAAAGTTGTTCTTTATATCTCAGATCTTTTACATTCTCGGTGCTTCCCTCTCAGAATCTGAAGGTCTGTTTCTTTGTGCTGAAGGATGCTATCTGTTAGTACTGTGTCTGTGCATTGTACTGAAGCATAAGTGGTTTCATCTGTTTCTCATGGGAGGAAAGGTTTCAAGATACACGGATGTATAATTTTTCCTCTGGGCCATTCATAAATGGAGCTGCTGTTTGTTTCTGGCTGCACTGAACTCTATAGAATACCTGGATAAATTCCTTTCTCCTTGGCTTTTATTTCCCCCTTTTTTGCACACACTCAAAAAACAGACAAACAAAATCCTGAGGAAAATCCTGTTGTTTTCCCAGGGTGCTCTGAATTCTTGAAAGCCAAAACCTGCAGCTTTGATAATGTTTGGTCAGAGCATTACTTCAGCCCTAGGTGAGGCTTCTTTTCACCTGTACTCTACATGGCAAAATGCTTTCTCCTTCCATCCTGTAATTTTAGGAAAATAAACCTCTGACCCTACCTTCCCAGGCCTAAGCAAATGTACTTGGAAATGAGTCCCAGTGAGAAGAAGAAGAAGAGAAGAGATTAGATTTATACCCCGCCCTTCACTACCCAAGGTAGTCTCAGAGCGGCTTACAAACTCCTTTCCCTTCCCCTCCCCACAACAGACACCCTGTGAGGTAGGTGGGGCTGAGAGAGCTCTGGCAGAAACTGCTCTTTTTCAAGAACATCTGTGCCAGAACTATGGTTTGCCCAAGGTCATCCAGCAGGTGCAAGTGGAGGAGTGTGGAATCAAACCTGGTGCTCCCAGATTAGAGTCCGCGCACTTAACCACTACACCAAACTGGCTCTTGTGGCATATTTCCCGGTGACCATGCATAAGGCTGCAATTTAAGGGACCTAGTAAAGACAGAGGCCTGGCCTCTAAGCTGAGTTAGTGTGAGCTAGCTCACAGTTTTTTAGCCTCCGGCTCACACATTTTTGTCTTAGCTCAGGAAGGATGGCTCCAGAGCAAACTAATTTATGCAGCAGCCAGATTGCTCACTCACAACTTTAATGCCAATAGCTCAGAGAGTAGAATTTTTGCTCACAAGACTCCACAGCTTAGAGGGAGCATTGGTCCTGACCTGAATAGCCCGATCTCTTCAGATCTCGGAAGCTAAACAGGGTTGGCCCTGGTCGTGATTTGGATGGGAGACCACCAAGAAATACCAGGGTCTCTACGCAGAGGCAGGTGATGGCAAGCCATCTCTCAATGTCTCTTGCCTTGAGAACCCTGCAGGGCCGCCATAAGTCAGTTGTGACTTGACGGCAAAAAAACAGACTAAGATGGAACAGGAAGCAGCGTCTGTGATCCTTGCCCCAAAACATCATGCCTGTGTCATTGAACTACACTACAAATAGACTTGTTGGTAGAAATATGGAAGGCATATTCTTACAGCATTGGACAAAATGGAAGTGCATCTGCTAGGATATTTTTGTAAGCTAGTAAATGAGCTGCGTGAGGCTTGGCTCTCTAAGGAAGGGAAGGTATAAATACAGTTCCGTCTGCTTTAACAGATTGTACTGATGGCAGAAGATAAGAGTTTCAGGGGCTAATCAGCTGCAAACGGTGTGTGTGTGTGTCTTTTAATGCCCAAGATGTATCTAACCCTGCATGCATATTGATTTGGGTGCTTTGTCTCTGTTTGAAAGGCGACCCTTCATTACATGGTGATGTTTGGTCTTGGTTGGAGTTTATCCTCACCTCCATCTTCAGTGCTCTGTGGGTCCTTCCTCTCTTTGTGCTCAGTAAAGTCGTCAATGCCATCTGGTTCCAGGTAGGTGATCTCACCGAAAAGGTGATGCACCTTCCAAGGGTTGGTAACAAAAGACCTGCTTAGCAGCTGAGATAGTTAAAACGAAGCCCAGTGTCTTGTGTGTTGATGATGTCCCTCTAAGGGCTTGAACGAATCAGCCAGTTCTGGTGTGATTTCATCTCCCACTCCCAGCTGTGCAGTCAGCAGCCAAATGTTGTGTCCTGTCCTAGTATGAACCTCACAAAACAAGTAATTACTTTACTGTGGTCTCTCTTAGCACTGCTTGCATTTGCTTACATGGCAGTCCTTATTCTGTCTTTTTTATCTACCATAAGATGATTTGAAAAGAAAGTTATTTATTATGTACATGGCAGTTTACACTGGAAATTTTCTCTAACAAAGGCTGCTTTTCAGTCTTGTTCTTATCATTGTTTGAAAACACGGCCACTATTTTTTTGGGGTTTTTTGCTCCTTCCACCCACACACACTCCTCTTCCCGGAGGGGGCAAGTTTTGCACAGCTCTGTAAATTCCGCAGTTTGCAAACAGAGGCACATTTGGTCTGATGTAATTGGAAACTGGGGAGGAGAGGGGATGCTCTGAATCTGTTCCCAGAATAGAAGGAACTAGAGTAGGTGTGTTGAGAGGAAGAAATCTCTCTCTGTGTTATATATTGCATCACTGTACAGGTATGCAAGGCTCACAAAACACCTGCCTGAAGATGAGAGGAAACTGTATATTAGGAAAAAACCCCAAGGTTGCGGTTTGTGATGGGACTGTCCTCCAGGCACAGCCCGATATGGAGATTATGCTAAAACGCCTATCTTTGTATGTAGGGAGGCCATAATCCTGTGCGGCAGCAATTGTTTACCAATCCAACAATAAGCAACCTGCAGTCTCCAAGAGGCTTTTTTTAAAAAAATATTTTTTTATTTTAAATAATTGACAAGACATACAAACAAGACATACTAATATACACTGCAAAGAACGGGAATCCATTTAAATTTTGTTTCACCTAATTAATGACCTCATACAATAACAAATTGTAATCTTTACTTTTTCCCCACCTTATAGTTACCATATACATCATTTGCTTACAATAAATATATATATTTCTTAATTTCCTTTATTTGGTTAAATGAAAGTTTTAAGTACTGTGTTCTTCAATCCATGTATAAAATCTTGACCAAGTATTCTCAAAGTCTTCTTTGTTGTACCCTCTCAGAATTAAGGTTAACTTGTCCATCTCTGCTGTTCCCAGTATTTTTTTTATAACTTCTTTCTTTGTTGGAACATCATTTTCTTTTCCAGTATTTAGCATATAATATTCTTGCCATTGCCACTATATGTACTGCAAGATAAAAATCTTGTTTTTTATAATTATCTGGTTTTATATTCAATAAAAACAATTCTGGTATATAAGGTACAGTAGTTTTAAGCATTTTTGGTAACAATTCATGTACCCAAGACCGATATTTTTTAGCTTTGGTGTGACCTGCGGACAGGGAGGTTGGTTACAGTTGACACCACCTGGCTTTGTTGTCTCTTAAAACAACATGTTTCAAGCTCTTAGCATTGTAGAGCTAAACATGAAACAATGAAACTGAACTATGTTCAGGAAGTTATAGTTCATGAGTTATTTTTTCCAAGATATGCTTGTGCCTAGAAGCACTAGAGTAGTATCTGAAGGTCTGCATGCTTATAGATGCCTAGAAAGGAAGCGCTTTTTCTTTACACATATCTTTGCACTTTTCTTAGGGTTATTTCCTGGGAGGAAAAGGCTTTTTAATTGATGTGATGTGGCAGTGTTGCAGATTTTCTGTGTAAATATTAAGTAATTCTTTGTTCAGTTGCCTGAAGTGTCGGGGAGGGGGGGGGATAGTGATGCCCAAGTCATGCAGCGTTCTTTAGCTATCTTTAGTATAAGATTTTCTAGCCCCCCCCTCAATGTGTAACTGAACACTGAAAGTGGTCTCCAGCTTTAAGAAGGAAATAGCAGAATCTTGAAAACAAAATCCACTTTTCTGAGTTGCAGGACAGCTGTAAACATTACTGACTTAAAAAAAAAAGGAATTTTGTTTTGCTAAAACATTTTGTTTGTGTTTCAGGACATTGCTGATCTAGCATTTGAGGTCTCGGGGAGGAAGCCTCAGCCGTTCCCCAGTGTCAGTAAAATCATTGCTGACATGCTGTTTAACCTTCTGCTGCAAGCTCTTTTCCTTATCCAGGTAAGAGCAGACAAGACCTGCATGAGGAAACATGCACTCAGCATTGGATGGGACCAGCAGGTCCCCTAGGCCTTCCTTTGTCCCGGGAGGGCTTGCATCTGTGATGCCTTCAGATGTCAACCCATCACATTCTGACTAGGAGTGTCCCAGCCGGAGAAAATATGACCAGATGACTCCAGGAGTGAGTCAAGACTCTCTCTTTCCTCTTGCTTCATCAGGCCCTTAGCTACGGTGGGGCTATTCAGGGCTTTGCCCCCTTTCTTAAAGGGACAGCCCCACAAGATTTTCCCTTGACAACCCTTTATTCCTTAGGTGTCCTAAATTGCTTTGAGATCCAGGTTGGAATCTCTGCAGTGGGAAGGAGGCTTGCTGGTAGGGTTGTCAGCCCCAGGTTTGGGAAATACGTGGAGATTTGGGGGGTTGAGCCTGAGGAGGACAGTGTTTAGGGAGGGGAGGGGCTTCAATGGGGTCATATTTGCTTAAGGCAGAAATCCCCCCCCCCATTAATTGAGAACTTCAGCCCCACCAGAAAAAAATTGCCCCACAAGCCACAAAATCCTGGCTGTGGGCCTGTGCCTCATCCTGCCAAGCTGCTAGCCCATATGTTCTAGCTGATGGATCTTCCGCAGTCCAAAATATGACAGTCTGTCAGTGCCCATGAACCTGGGCAAAACTAGGAAGCGTTGTTGAGTGCAAGTCACAGCCATGCCCCTGGGAACTGCATCAGGCGAATCTCACTGCTCCAAGTGTTTACAGTATGTCAGAAGTGATTGCTTCAAGAGGCCTCTGAGTTACAGGGACGAATAGAGACTAGGAGCTTACTGTGATTCAGCTTTAGTGTCCTGGTGGCTAGACTGGGCGTGTGGGGGACAACTTAAAGGCTTCTTCAGCTGTGTCTCTTCTTGGGATGGTGAAGATGGCTAATAGAGTGTGCATCTGCTATGATATGAAGAAATATTGCTTTTTGCAAAGGAGAGCTGAAGTCCCTGTCTTCTCCTCCTTCACAGGGGATGATTGTAAGTCTGTTTCCCATCGATATCATTGGCCAGCTGGTCAGCCTGCTTCACATGTCACTGCTCTACTCGCTGTACTGTTTTGAGTACCGCTGGTTTAACAAAGGTGAGCACTTCTCTTTGCTTCCATTGCTGTCAGGTTACCGTTGCAGGGTGTGATCAGACAGGTGGGTTTTCTTTTAATCACATTCTGAAAAATTGATTGGGAAATGTAGAACAGACTGGCTCATGGTATTGGGCGTAGCATGATTTCTGCTTTCACAAGATTGCATTCCTGTGCTGCCGCAGCAGTAGTTAAATTATGGGGAACGGTTTGACGTTCCCGGAGAGATGAGGTACTGCTGTGGGGGCTTTCCACATGGGTAAGAAAGAAGCCTGATAAAGGGCCGATATTAAAAACCTAGTGTAAACTTATTATATACAAAAATACATGTATTTATTAGAAAGACAGTTAAAAGCTTATAAGGGTCCAATGAAAGCCTTAATACAAAGTGCAAGTCACCTGAACAGACGGGCCAATACTAGTGACCTGATGCGTTTCCACCTCTTGGGGGCCTTCTTCAGAGGTCAAACCATTTGAGGTACAGATAGACACATGTTACAATGTTACATGTTACAATGAAATAACAAACAATAATTTGATACTTGACCAAAAAAGGAAAGCTGTAGAAACACAGTAACATGTGTCTATGAAATGTCTATCAAATGGTTTGACCTCTGAAGAAGGCCCCCAAGAGGTGGAAACGCATCAGGTCACTAGTATTGGCTCTTGTGTTCAGGTCACTTGTACTTTATAATGAGACTCTCCTTGCGCCTGTATATGTTTTTAACTGTCTTTCTCATAAATCCATGTATTTTTGTGTATAATCATTATACACGAGGTTTTTAATATTGGACCTTTATCAGGCTTCTTTCTTACCCTTGTGGTCCTTGATTCCAGGTGTTGGGTCACTTTTGTTTTCCCCTCCCTGTGTCTTACTGGCTTTCCACCTGACCTGCCCCTTTGATGTGGTTCGTGCTTACAGGTGTTAATGGTGCATCATGGAATCGAGAGAAGCCAGGTTCAGTTCTCTCCTTGCCTGTGAAGCTTACTGGGTGACATTGAGAAAGTCTTAGTTTAACCTACTTCACAGGTTTTTCTGTGAGTCTAAAATATCAGTCTGAGCGCCGTCGAGGAATAGCAGGATACTGTGCAGTACAGCATCAGCGTGGAGCGGCAGTTAACAAACTAGGATGACCCAGGTTCAAATCCCTACCCAGCTGTGAAGCTCAGTGGTTGATCTCTGGCCAGTCACTTTCTCTCAGCCTAACTTAATTCATAGGATTGTTATGAGGATCAAATAGAAGAGGGGAGAATCCTGCATGGTGGACACATTGGAAGGATGGTGGAGTGAAAATGTGATACAGATAAATATGGTGCTTGTCCTATTTGTGTGTTACAAAACACAAATTCCTTCTATTGTCTTACCTTTTACAAGAAAATTAACAGAAAATTGACTTGACTTCTAAAGGGTAGTGAGAGATTTAACTGGTTTTCAGTGAGAGCTTGGAAGTACGTTCCTTATCATCCATATATGTTTTCCCCCAACATTACAGGAAATTTTAAGTTAATCATCCAATGGGTGTTAAATTACTTAGTGTTTGGGAGGAACACTTAAGTTTACATCAGGACTTAAGCTGGTGGATTCAAGCCATTGAAACCAAGTGGTGAAAATCAAGCAAGGTGTGTTAGACATTCGCTTTAACTCTTTGTTGGAGAAGATGTGATCCAAACAACATGAACTTAGTTTGGGGAATCTGGCATCCTCTGAAGCTACATGATCTGCAGTGCACAGCTTGTCCATGCTTTCGCATATCATTTTGGTCTGGATTTGTATGCTGAAGATGGCTACTCTGGATCTTGGATGTTTCAGAATGTGAGATAAAATACTTCTCTCTGGTTATTTCATTGAACACTTTGTGTTGGCGTTTGTCTTGTCAGGAATTGAAATGCATCAACGATTATCCAACATTGAAAGGAACTGGCCCTATTACTTCGGATTTGGTTTACCACTGGCTTTTCTCACTGCAATGCAGTCGTCTTACATTATCAGGTGACTGGGGCCATCCTTTCTCTCTCTTTTATATGTTAGAGCAGCAGGCAAATGTAAACTTCTTGAATAACTGGAAGGAAACAGTGGATAGTGCAGGACTATGAGAGGCAGAACAGGAATACTGGGATTGGTAAGAAAATGATGGAAATTATTTTGAGAACAATGGTGGGCATACCCTATTTCCCCCCATCCTACTTTTTCTACGAAATGACCCCTGATGGAAATCATTTTGAGAACAATGGTGGGCAATACCCTATTTCCCCCCATCCTTCCACCAGGAAAATAGATACTACTTCTATAACGCTAGGCCCTGTGGCGATTAATAGGTCAAACCTAGGGCAGGATGTGAAAGAGTAGCAGGTTTTCCAACAGAAAGGTCTTCAAGGCTGAGCCCCAGAGTTTTCCACAGGAGACTGGCTAATGATTAGTCCCTTTCAGTAATCCCCCAGCATGGTACCAGCCAGTGCATTTCATGGCACACACTTCTTGCTTGGTTCATGTGGGTAAAATCTAAATAGTTTTGAATGGAACAGGAAAAAGCTGGAAGATTTTGGTCGTTTCCTACTGACAGACTATCTGAGATCATTCAGGGTGGGTGCATCAGAGCTGTGCCCCCTTCGTCTGACTGTGGGCACAGACCCCACATGACAGCCATTTTGTGATTGTCCTTGCTCCCACAGCAACCATTTTGTGGTTGAAGCCTTGGCCTGTTCCTTGGACCTAGTTTGTACTGCCAACATTCTGGGATTCGTGTAATGGATATTTATTGGTGCAGCGGACTACATGGTGAAGAGTGCATAGACTAGCTTCCACGTGACAGCAAACTATGTGGACAGTGCTGTGAGGAACATCTACGAAACAAGCTTCTCTGTCCCAGTGGCAGAATGTTGGATGGGGAACATCCATATTTCTCCCTCACACTAGGGTCTCTGCTTTACCCTTGATACCACCATAGACACTACCCCTGTTCAGGAGTTACAGTGAATGCATATATAATCTGTGTACAAGGTATACTTGATTTTCCTTTAGTATGTGTGTGGAGTAACTCTCATGTTACATTCAAGGGATTTATTCAGGTACTGGTCCCTGGTTTCATTTGTAAAGTTGGCTGTTTCTTACAAACAGGTGTATGCGTGTACAGGCAGCATGTACATGCATTCACTGTAACTTGTGAACAGGGAGTATTTGCTTATTTTCGATCCCATCGTTGTCAGTGTTGTATCTCCCCCCACAATCAACAGTTTCACCATCTGTGCGATTAATGGGTTGCTTGGATAGTTAAGCAGTTTTAATAATATACCCACACTGATGTTGGTGAAGTAGCTGAGGTAGGAGAAGGAATGTATTCCTCGGGGTGGGATTTTGTTGAGTGTGCAGCAAAACAGCAAGAAAACATGGTATGCAAGATACAATAGCTCTTTATTCTAAATCTGCATCAGCAATTGGCTCACTTCTGCCAGACCGCATCATGTGTAAATGTGTTTGTGCGAAAGTTGTTGGAAAGCTAGCTGCTCATAGCACCGTTGAAGCTTACAGAGAGCTCCCTCGTACTAATTCTGTAAATTTTTTGCTGCAGGCATCTGTGTCAGTAGAAGCCTTCCTGTAATACAAGGGACTACTAATTGATTACACCTTTCTCTTTTCAGTGGCTGCCTGTTCTCCATTCTTTTTCCTCTGTTTATTATCAGCGCCAATGAAGCGAAGACTCCAGGAAAAGCATAGTATGTACCTCTGCCTACCTGTCCCAGGTTTATTATTGATAGGTAGATGGGGAGGGACCCATCAGTGGTTTATCAGTCTGAATGGGGATGGGATCACCAATTAACTCCTGGCCATCTTTCTTGCTGGTTCTTCCATATAGTGAAATGAGCTAGCTCACTCTTTGTACCCTGACATAAGAACATAAGAGAAGCCAGTGTTGGATCAGGCCAATGGCCCATCCAGTCCAACACTCTGTCACACAGTGGCCAGAAATACCAGGTGCCATCAGGAAGTCCAGCAGTGGGGCCAGGACACTAGAAGCCCCCCCCTCTGTTGCCCCCCCCCCCAGCACCAAGAATACAGAACGTCACTTCCCCCAGACTGAGAGTTCCTATCTATACCTTGTGGCTTATAGCCACTGATGGATCTCTGCTCCATATGTTTATCTAATTCCCTTTTGAAGCCGTCCATGCTTCAACTAATCTACTTGGTTTGAAGGGCTCTCAGATCATACTTGCTTTTTGACTTGGGGCAACGGAGTCATGAATCAAACTGAGTTAGCCAGTGCAGTGTAATGGTCAGAGCTGGGCTATGACCTGGGAGGAGTGCGTTCACACACATGTAGCTGCCATGTACTGAATCAGACCATTGGTCCATCAGGGTCAGTATTGTCTATTCAGACTGGCAGTAGCTTCCCCGGGTCTCAGGTGGAGGTCTTTCACAGCACCTCCCACCTAATCTTTTCAACTGGAGATGCCAGGGATTGAACCTGGGACCTTCTGCATACAAAGAGCCAGTTTGGTGTAGTGGTTAAGTGCGCGGACTCTAATCTGGGAGAACCAGGTTTGATTCCCCACTCCTCCACTTGCACCTGCTGGATGACCTTGGGCAAGCCATAGTTCTGGCACAACTGTTCTTGAAAAAGAGCAGTTTCTGTCAAGAGCTCTCTCAGCCCCACCTACCTCACAGGGTGTCTGTTGTGGGGAGGGGAAGGGAAAGGAGTTTGTAAGCCACTCTGAGACTCCCTTGGGTAGTGAAGGGTGGGGTATAAATCCAATCTCCTCTTCTCTTCTTCTCTCAAAGCAGAGGCTTTTCCACTGAGCCACAGCCCATCCCTCAGATTGTTGCTCTGCCATGAAATTTGCTGGATGAACTTTGGCCAGTCTTTCTTGCTCTTAGCCTCAGCTCCTTCGCAAGGTGGTTATGAAACTAAATTGAGGATGGGAAAACCACATGTCCTGCCTTCAGCTCCTTGGAGGAAGGGTGGGACAAAACTGTACTAGATGACCGGTGAGGGCCCAAGCAGGGGCTGTGGCTGAGTGGTAGAACATCTGTGAGGCATAACAGAAGGTTTCAGGTTCAATCACTGGCATCTCTAGTTAAGGATCTGGTAGTAGGTGATGGGAAAGACCTCCACCTTGAAACCCTGGAGAGTCACTGAGAGTCTGAATAGACAATGCTGACCTTGATTGCCACTTCGTGTGTGTGCATTCTACCTTCAGAATTCTCACAGTGTACATGTTCAGCACTGGTTTCCTGCTTAGGTTAGCCGAAGGCAGAGCCATGACTCCCCAACAAGCACAAATGGAGGTTGTGGGGAAGGTTTCTTTTTATGTGACTTAAGGGAATGTTGTGGAGGCAGGGAATTAGCCACCAGAGAAAGCATTTCCCTAAAGAATAAGGTAGTTTTCCTGCCAAAAACGTATATTGCAGTAAGTGTCCAGGTGTTGTAGCACATCTTGCTTTCAGGCTGCCAACAGTTCTTTATTGGGGACAGAGCAGAATTTGGGCGACACTGGGGGCGAAATGCATGTGACTCTCAGTCCGAAGGTCTTTGAATGAGAGCTGATCACCGTCTGTTCTTGCATTCCAGCCACTTCCAGTTGCGCCTCTTTTCCTTGGTGGTCTTCCTTAGCAACAGACTCTTTCACAAGACGGTGTACCTTCAGTCCACCCTGAGCAGCTCTTCGTCCGCTGACCGACTGCCCTCGCCACAGCCGTCTCCTGCCAGGCAGAAGGCAGCTTTAGCGCACTGAACCCTAACCAAAGTTGGGGAGGCAGGGAGAGCGCCATTCCCGGTTGCTGTATACACGCGCCTGTGATCCAGGGAAGGGCAGTAACCGTTCTGCCATGGGGGCTTGTGTGTGTGTGTGGTTTCCCCCCTGCACACACTTTATCATCGTAAGCTCCAGTTGGGCACAGGTTTTATGTCGCGCTGTGTGTGTGGATAAAAATATCATTTGGGGGGCGGGAGGAAAGGGAGCTGGAGAAGATTCTGGGTTTTTAAACATCTTTGTGAGTTTTTTAAAAAGCCAGGTTCTTTGCTTGTTTTGTAGCGTGTCACGGACCTGTGCCTGTGTGATGCTGATGGGGTCTTTACAGTGAACAGTAACACAAGTGTTGGGTTTCTTGACGATCATAGTTCTTTGTATATTATATAACTCAGGTCAGGATTTTGTAATCGCTGTTGTGCTAAAACGAGAAAAGAGAGCGGATCATGTAACTGCAGGCGCAAGATTATGAGGCGGACTTGGGAGGGACTCTCCCCCCCCCCATCCTTGATATCCAACAGTGTCGACTGACAAACTTTGGTGGTATCTACCCGGAGGACATGGACCGGTGCCGCCAACATTTGTTTTGAGGCGGAAACGATGCACTTCTGAAGGATGAAACGAATTCCCGACCTTAGCAGCAGAATGTGTGGATTTTTTTTTAAAAAAAAATCTACATCCTTAGAGCTTTTTGAAAAAGCATCTTCTGAATGTTCAAAGGGAAACCCAAAAAGTGTACGGGTAAGGTCAGGAAACATGTCATCTCTGTGGTTGGGTTAGTAAGATTTGCAATATAATGTTTGGTCTTGGAGCCAGTGAATGCTTCTAAAAATTAGTGTCTTTATGTATTTTGTTGGCAATTGGGGAGAAGACGGATGAAGGCACCAAATGATGTGTGTGTGGGGGGGAAAATGAAAGGGCTTCTACAGGGTTCGTGCACAAGGTTTCGAAGGGGTCATTACCTTGCTATGCCAAGGTATGGTGGATCTGCCTTTGTAGGTAAAAAAGGCTTGTCTGAGTTGTGCTTAGAAAGCCTCCAACTCAGATTCACGAATCTGCTCTGCAGCTATCGCCCCAGCCAAGTCAGAATGACATAAGCCGAAGTGCTCCTGTGTGGTTGTAGCTGCAGCTGGCAGGACTTGCTGGTAAGATGCAGATAGGTGCTCTTTGTGTGTCTGTCTGTCTCTGTGTACATATGTAACTGTGTAATGCACAAAGGGAGCATAATCGATCCTGATTTTAGACAGTGTTCCTCATGCATGTCGGACTTCTGTAGGGCTGGAAACGATTTAAAAAAAAAAGCCCTTTGGGTTTTTTTTTTTTTTTTTGCAGAACAGAGGTCAGTCTACGGATAATTTTTCTCTCTCTAGCATTTTCACACTGAAATATTAAATTAAAATGGGGAAAAAAATCAACTTGAAGTGCTCTTGTGACTCAATCAAGAAACAGATTTCACTGCTGGGTAAGGTGAAGGGGAGGGAGTTGTCCTAGTAGATGAATTGATATTTCTTTTTAAGCAGGCTGCCTGGATACCTGATAGTGGGATGAGGGATATCTTCTCTACCTAAAGGACCACCTGTGTCTCCAATAGCTACAGGTGCACACAAATTGCTTGGAAGTGGGTCTTCTTGAGTTTGATGGAACTTATGCCTCAATAGACACCCACAGATCGTGGCTGGGTCTGGTAGCCAGCTTTTATTTAAGACTAATCCCACCACAAAATTACCTGTAACAAGACAATGCTTAGACTACATTACACCTCTATTAATAACTGTATTAATAGAGGAAAAAATAATTCTTTAAACTCAAACTCGCAATCATCAGTGCATGCTATCTTCAGTCATATCTAATGAACAAATTGAATAGTTTTGACTTCTAAACTGTGATTAATCTCTTAATTTTGACTGGTTTGCCATGTTAAATTCTTAGTATTTTTGTCAGCAAATAATTTTTCTACGCGTGCAAATATTGTAAAGCTTGTACATTTTTTTGTTGAAGGAAAATTTTGACAAAATATCAAGAAATTTGGAGCAATCTGTTAGGTTTTCTTAATCTCCCCCCCCCCCACACACACACAAAATATGAGTTTCCTACAGATGCTTTGTATTGACTGTTAAACGGGCAAGTACAACATTTAAATTTCGGTTACAAAAGTGAAGAAGACTGACAAGCTTTCCAGGAACAAGGAAGTTTCTTCTTGAGTACACACCTTCTTGAGTACAGTCTACTTTTTCAGGGAACTTCTTTCCAAATTAAGGGTGGGGAGATTGAGCACTTGGTTTGCATGCAGAAGGCTCCCAAGTTCAGGTGCCTGGTCTCTTCATAAAAGTGGCTGTCTGGCCACGTAGCTGATAAAGACCTAGGCAGACAGGGTAGACAAAGCAGGGCCCAATTGACCAGTGGCCTGACTGAGCTTCATGTTCAAGGCTGTGATCCCATGCAGTTACTTGGGACTAAGCCCAGTGGGACTGACTTCTGAGTACGCATATGATCAGGCTGGGTATCACAACCTTCCTGCCCACTGGGTTTGAGGAAAGTTTTTATTAGAAATGATCAGTAGCAAATCTGACTTCAGTTTGGAGAACAAAAAACCCACGGGCACACACCCTTATCTGACAACAGAAAAGGAGGTGCTTTTTCGTTGCGGAGCTGTGCTTTCTCTCTCCCTTCTCTCTTTCTAACCTGTTTTCTAGCTGAGAAGCTGTCAGGGTGGAAAGGAGGCAGAAAGGAACCGCTACTAACGGATGGCTTCTCTTTGAGGCACAGAACAGGACTGGGCTGAGAATGAAAAACAAAATCACCTGCAGGCCTGGTGCTGCCATATTCTTAAACGATGAGTGCAGCAAATCCCTTTGCCAGCAGGACACACTTCCTTGCCACTAGTGACCTGCAGAGGGTGCTTATGGAACGCCATGCCTAAGTAAAGAGGAGCAGGAGCAGGTTGTAATTAAGATACGGCAAAGCGTGTTGGCTTCCAGTCAGGTCCTAAAGAGGAGGTTCTGTCCTCTTGAAGGAGGTTCTATGCTTTTAAGAACCAAACTTAGATGGAATGCTGATAGGCAGCTTCTGCTGGAAATAGGCAACTGCATGCTTCGCTTCCCCCTCCATAAAAAAGTAGGAGAATAATGATCTTTCCCCACGGGACACTGGGGAATGGGGCAGAAGACAAGCACAGCCTTGTAACATGAGGATATTGGTAAACTGGTGGGGGGAGCCAAATGTATGATTGGTTTTTGCAGTAGTTAGGTAGATAACATCTGGTGTGGCCCTAGCTCAAGCTGAAGTTCTGCCCTCTAGTTACTGTTCTCTGGCAAGGTCAGATTAAGACTGAAATTCCATACTTAACAGCAAGGAAGAATTTCACACAGATGTTCAACCACAGTACTGTTTCCCTTTGATAAAGGAGTGGTTTCATCTTGGAATGTGTCAAAGACACTATGGCTGTGGTTGTAAAAAAAAAGCTGGTTTCATCTTGGAATGTGTCAAAGACACATGTGGTTGTAAAAAAAGAGCTACCGTATTTCCTGCATCAGTTTGAATTGGTTGCTATGCGGAGGGAAAAGGAACAGCAGTCTTGTTTGTATACCCAGTAGTATACTTATCCTCACCTCCCATATTTCAACACTGATGGCAGAGGTTGGGGTTGGCTCGGGGTTCAAGCCTGCAGTTAACACTAAGTTTGTACACACACACACACACAGAATCAGATTGAAAAATAAGAACATAAGAACATAAGAGATGCCAATGTTGGATCAGGCCAAAGGCCCATCCAGTCCAACACTCTGTATCACACAGTGGCCAGAAATACCAAGTGCCATCAGGACGTCCAGCAGTGGGGCCAGGACACTAGGAGCCCTCACACTGTTGACCCCCCCCAAGCACCAAGATGACAGAGCATCACTTGCCCCAGAGTCCCTATCTATGTCCTCTGAAAGTAGTTACGTAGAAAAGCCTATTCTCATTCAAAAAAACTCATTCTGCTTACCGGCTGCTTTAAGGACAAGTACAACTGAAAAAGATTTTAAATGGGGTGGTGGAAATTGCCAGCAAGTCACAGCCAAATTATGGTGACCCCATTTTTAAGGCAAGAGATGAACACAGGTGGTTTGCCATGGTCTGCCTCTGCATAGCATCCCTAGGCTTTGTTGGTGGTCTCCCATCCAAGCTCTGATGAGTTCAGGCTATTTAGGGCAAGTCAGCCTCTTAATTTTAGTACACCTCACTCAGAACAAATGACCATAATTTTCCTGTTACCCAGCACCCCCTCTCTTCCCTGTTTGTCACCACATTTCCTCCCATTAGAGATCTATGGATTTTTTAAAGAAACAAATGCAGATAAACCTTATTGTTAAGAACAAGCAAAAATACACGTTAGCAACAGCAGAAACAATTATGTCAAGAAAATAGCCCACCCTGCGTGTTTCTTGGATTTTTTAAAGAAACAAATGCAGATAAACTTTATTGTTAAGAACAAGCAAAAACACACACTAGTTAGCAACAGCAGAAACAAATATGTCAAGAAAATAGCCCACCCTGCATGTTTCTTGAGAAAGGTTCATCTCAGAGCCCACACAGGAAGTCTTCAGAGGATGGCCGAGTGACCCTTGGCCAAGAGGGGAGCTTCTACCCCTGCACTTTCCCCACCTCCTTCCCTCCCTCTGTCCCCCTTTTTGGTTTTAGGCCCAGCCTGGAAAAAGAGTAGAATAGAATAAAGCCTAAATGTTCAACAGACTAGACCAGCACCATTACATGTGGAGAAAAAAAAGGTACATCCTCTCCAAAGAGAATGACGCTGAAAGGAAACTGAAGATTAAATTGTCTGTATTAGCACAAACACACACCCCCAAACACACACAACCCATCATAGACCAGAGACACCCGAATCTTCCCAGATTTATGTCTCCTGAAGATTAAATTGTCTGTATTAGCACAACCCCCCCCCAACTCACACAACCTATCATAGACCAGGGACACCCGAATCTTCCCAGATTTCTGTATGGAAGCTGGATGTATTCTTCATATTCTTCACAACTCAGCACTCCTCTGGAGAATATGGTTGATGGTTCTCTTTGGGTTGCCTCTCCCAATATACGCATTGCCAACGCTACCCTGTTTGCTCCCACCTCTACTGGTCCAACGATTTTTTGCTCTAGCTTATTCCTCAAATGCCTCTGCATTCTGTACAGTATGAAACAAGTTCAGCTCTCTTTTTCTGTCACATACTCCTCAGACTGGATGAAGCCAGGATTCTTAAAGTTGGGGGGCATTTAAATTTCTTAGGGGGCACTGGCTAATCAATTT